GAGGGGAGGGGGAGGGGGAGAGGGGAGGGGGGGGTAGGTAGGATTTGAAGGGTAGTATACCACGGTTACCCGACAGGATCCTCTACCTGCCCGTACCCACCCCCCATTTTTTTTCTGCCTCTCGTACCTGTCCATACCGGTTTCAGTTTTCTTTTTGGCTGCCCCTACCTGCCCATGATCTCCATAAAGGGCAACTGTGCCTGCCCTAACAACAACCACTTCTTTTTTTTGCTTGTCCATACCCAACGCCCCCTTCGGAAGGGGTACCCAGCCCTACTAGTGAGCTCGCGGTTACTGCTGGGTGCGATCGGGTACGGGTTGCGCTATGTTGTGCACAACACCGCCGCCGTCAGTTCGAATCAGCTGCACCTGGGGTGGAAGCCTAGATCTGCTCTAGGCTTCCTCCTACCTGAAAACCGATCTGTTGCAACTCCTGCAACCATAGAATTTGGGGTCCAGTATGAGAAGTTGTAGCAGCAAGTTGTCGAACACATTCAGAAATCTCAAGAAGCAACAATTGCTTCTGAGAACAAACATCGACGACATTCCACATTTCAGGTAGGGGAACGTGTTTGGGATAAGTCTAGTGAGCTAGGACAAGAATACGGCGTCTTTAGAAAACTAATACCTCTGAGTCAATACTTTGGTCCTTGGGAAGACTTGGATATTGTGGGTAGTGAAGAGGATGGTCCCTCGTATGGATTTGAATCCCCGGTCACTTGTGCACTTACCTTGTGTTTCACGGCTCAAAGCTTGCACCTTTCACGGAGACACAGCAATTCCCATCAAGGAGATCAATGCTGCCCCCAACCATGAATGGCCACATGGACGTCAACGACATTCTGGAGCACAGAGACATGCCTGTTCCTAAGCTCGTGGGCAGAGGAAGACCTCAGAAACCCAAGCGGGAATACCGGGTCAGATTCAGACATCACATGTATCCAAAAGAAGACCGATGGTTCACCAGAGAGGAACTAATGGAAACGGCATCTCAGATTGTGGCAGACTATGAAAAAAGGTTGAAGGGGAAGGCTCCCGAATAAGAACCATCTTAGCGGACTTTCGAAGCTTAGGGGAATGGAATGTGAGGAATGTGCCCTCAGGGGGGTTTGGACTAACTAACATGTATATGTTCTAGACTGTGGCCTGCAACAAGCCTCGTGCCCGCCCTAAGTGGAGGTGGGCTTGAACATCCACGAGAGGCCCATATCTCAGCATTTTCCAAAGTGGGTCTCAGACAGTTGCTGGACGTCAGTTGGTTGAAGTGCAACCTGAGCCTCACCCGGGGCTCTTCCGGAAGAAGCAACTGCGCCAGGCAGTTGAGCCAGGGATGCAGGTGGTTGCACCCTGGGCACACGTAGTGTCAGGCCGACGCATCACGAGTGGCCACAGACCAATGAGAATGCAGCATTGTTGTCACATCCACCTCAAGGGCCAATGCAAACACAACAAACATTCGAAGCTTGGAAAATCATGGGTGTGCCCAACTGAAAAAGGGTCAGGCCCTCAACTGTATGGGCGCAGATACTGGGGCCCGACCAGAAGCTACTGGAAACTTCCCTGGCCAGGCCTAGACAGTCCAGCAGCAGCAATCTCTCCCATATAGGGAGGAGGTCAGCCAGTCCAGGCCATTCTGGCCTCGGCGCGCAATGCGAACACACTGTTGCGTTAGCGCACAAGTGTCTGCATGCGCTATTGCTGGCTGGGGCGCACGCGGATGCTGAGTGGTGTGGGGCGCTGTAGGGCAGCGGCGCGCTAGCGGCCATAGCCGGGCTGCAGGGCGCTAGGGGGTAATGAGCGGTGGTGATCTTCAGGAGGAGGTGCAGGTGTGGGTGGACAAGGGTGATGAGGGGAGTCGAGAGTACGTACCTGGTGTATGTGGGAGGTCGGCATTGGTGTTGACGTCATGTACACTGGTTTTCAAAGTTGAAGTGAGCCTGTTTAATGAATTTAGGTAGGCTAGGGAGGATGAGTAGAGTAGGCTGGGCGTTGGGTGCCGGACAGTAGGATGGACATTGAACTTGAACACTGTGTTGGTGTGGCCTGAGGATTTGGACATTGGCTCACGAGTTCGTTGCTTCACTCTTATTTGGATGGAATCTTTGTGCATTTGAGCTCTCTGCCTGTGACATGACTATCTGGACGTCTGCGTGATTTTGCAATTTGGTTTTCAGTATATTGCTCTCACTCATATTCCTTGCACATGGTGTTGCAGCCGTGTAATTTCCTTCTTTCTTGGAATGTGGGCGTGATGAAGTGCTCCATAGCAGCAGGTAGGTCATCTTCTATATCATCCGTACGTATTGTCTCGTAACAGCGTGTAATATCGGCTGAGTGTAGTGAGTATATATTATTCGGCAGGTTGTAGACATAGTCAGTTACTGAGTCCAGAATCCACAAAAATGCCTTAAAGCCTGTATTTTTCTGAGTTTCCGCAGTGAGCTGTCCGGAGTGTTTTTTGACAGTCACTGTCTTTGCGAACAGTTTTAAAGTAGCAGCACAGAGGTCAGCTAAGGGAGAAAAGATCACGTCTGATACATTGGTTAGCCATCAAAATGTGTTTGTGTGTTTCTTATAGATAGTCATTAGGTAAGGAAGTTAAGTAAAGATGGGGGAGAAGTGAAATTTTGTATTTATTTGTTGTTCTAAGAAATTGAGTAAGTTAAAGGTACTGATATCACAGGCTGTGAAGCATTACCGGTAAGTCTGTGTAGCGCGAAGAATCCTAGAAGGTTTATGCAAGTAATTGTTGGGGTGTTCGGTGCCTTGTCTGCTCCCGAGATAAAAAGGTGACTTGTTAGGAAGTCTATTTCATTTTGGATGTAGTGTGTAACTAGGTCAATGGTGGGTGCTGCGTAGCACGGTGAACGTGTCCGCGGCCCTTCCTGATCGGGCAAACACATTCTCCCATTCGCGCGAACGGGTCGAGAACACATTCGCGAGAACGTTTTTTTGAGGCCGGCGAACGGGGTTCCCCTGGGCCGGTACCGGTCATTGGCGTGTGTGTGTGTGTGTGTGCGTGTCATGTGTGTGTGTCTGTGTGTGTGTCTGTCTGTGTGTTTGTATGTGTGTGTGCCCTCGTGCACGCGCGCGCGCGCGCGCGCGCGTGTGTGTGTGTGTGTGTGTGTGTGTGTGTGTGTGTGTGTGTGTGTGTGTGTGTGTGTGTGTGTGTGTGTGTGTG